GGCCCTTCCAGTTCCTTGTGTGCTAAGAGATATGCGTCTTTAAAGTTGACCCTCCAAATCACATTTTTTGCGATTTTCGAATTTTTATACGGTTGCTCTAAAATTCGGGTTAGACCCATTACCCACTCAATTTGACCCCCTGAATAAGAATATGAAGTCGAATTTCTGAAATCATGCACGGATTTTGAGATATATAGAAATTACAATTCTAGGTGTTTTCGAAGCACATTTTCGTGCATTTTTGGGGTCGTTTCAATGACGTTGATCCATTAGTAGGATAATGTCGATCCATTGGTAAGATGATGTCCATCCCTCTGGGTGATGTTATTATCTCATTTGATAATATTGTAGAAATATCCCTCTAGGTGACAGTATTATCTCATTTGATAATACTGTAGAAATGTCCCTCCGGGTGCTTTACATTACCGCATCTGATATCGACGTTATTTGTGAATATTCTTCAAATGTTCTTAATGTTGAAAAATGTAATTTGATGTCATGGTAGATGCTTGTACATCTTGAGAGTGATGCTGTCACACCTCAAGTTCCATTAAGACGGACAGGCACCCGATGCCCTAAAGTCCCGAGAGAACCAACATGTAACTTGTGCTTACTATGCATATAACTATGACAATCTTAAGGTTGTGACAAGTTCACATGGGATGCAGTGATACAAACCAACATAAGTAGACCCAAAACTTATATACAAGACTTGGCCGTTGAGGCCACAACTTGTTAAGATACAAGACGCAACTGAACTATATACATTAGTCTACAAAGCCTTTAAAAGATAGAAAAACCTTAGTTTAGGGTGGGACAAGGCCCCACCTTACCCTTAACTATCATACAACAACAAATATAGGTGCCAAAGACTCGGTAAGCCTCGAATCAACCTGTAGCTTCACCAATAGCAGCTAAGCACCTGTGCTACTACTAAAGAGGTCTACTAGCTGGAGTACCTATACCTGCAACATGAAATGCAGCGTCTCCGTAGGGGACGTTAGTATGAAAAAAATGTACTGAATATTTAAGGCAATAACATATGTAAAACAAGGCTCAAATGACATCAAGTATCCGTATATAGGTGCATAGACCAGAATAGGAGACCACATTTGTTACTCTTGTGGGATCATGTATGTTGCATTCATTTCTTTACTTTTCTGTATGTTATGATCTTTATAAGGCATGTGATACAAATGACTAGCAGATCAGTGGTAGAATAAGATGACCCATGCTAGGCATTTTAACCCTGAGATGTTGTCCTCATAATTACACAAATTGGGATCGGCCCATGCTAGGCTTTTGCCCCTGAGCTGACATCCTTCTATACCAATTGGGATCGATCCATGCTACGCATTTGCCCCTGGGCTGCCACCCTTAATTATACAGATTGCTTCACTTAGTTTCTTCAATCTTTGAGATTGTTGTTTTGGTGGTCATGAACATTTTTGAGATTTGGAGCCATAGACCAGTAGTAGAAGACATGAAAATAATGACTCCAAGGCTGTAACAATGACGTAAGGAGCTATGTAACCTCAATGTATTACTTATGAGCTTAAATGGCACAATTGACTTCAATTGACTAAGAGGAGAATTCACCAAGCTTGTTGTTGTGAATACCATTTCTATATTAGCACATAGGAGGATATAATGAACATATAATGAAGTGATTCGATACACTAGGAAGGGAGGAAATATTATTAGCTATATTGGAGATCGTACACTGCCACCATGTTTCCTTGACTAGGAATAGAGCTTAGGAAACTCAGTTTGTTGATATTAATCACAATTATCATATTTCATGCCAAAGAATATGGAGTCGAATAGCCTTACATACCTTGTTGTATAACTCATTTATTACAAGAAATTAACCTCCTTCCTATCAGATTATTAATCTACAATGAAATAAGTAAAACTAGTATTAGTAGCTAATCAGCACATTTGGCTACTTAACCTCACAAAAATGGTAGCCCGGCAGAGGGCCCATAATTTATCATATCAAGGAGGTTGTTCAATTTCTCCTTGAATTACATTCACACACCAACGTGGAGTGAGTGGTAAGCCTAAACAACATTCAGTTTGGTGGTGTATCACCACACCCTCCTATATTTCCATATAAAATATTCACACCCTTCCCCAACATCAAACATGTCGTCACCACATATACACATAAAACAACCCAAACTGTTCCTTATCATAGCAACCAAATATTGAACTCACCATCTCTTGAGTTCTTAATAGCAATACACATGTAATTCTTCATCCAAACTCATGCATAATGAGGAAAAAAAAGGAGCAGTCACCTTAACTCAATTTATGCAACTTTCCCTTTTAACTTGAAATCTTCAAGAACTTCAACTTCCCTTCACACTTAAACCAAAGAAGAAGATAAAAGTATCTTAATAATCAAGGAAAGTGAGTAGTAACTTGTGGAGACATTCTGCCCTTGTACTTATACTTGAACATGAATAACAAGTTTTCCTAATCATCCATGGGAGAATTAAACTAAATCCATAGGTGTTTTCACTTACCTTAACTTGCAAAGATGAGGGTTTCTTTAAGAACCCTATAAGAAATTTGAGGCTGCTGTTTTAACCTTAAGAGAAAAGAGAGAGAGAGAGAGAGAGAGAGAGAGAGAGAGAGAGAGAGAGAGAGAGTTGGAGTTAATTCTAAATTGATGTGTTTAAATGGAGTGAAAAGAGCAACCAATATTTATCTTATATTAAATTTTCTTCACCTTTAAGAATATCCTCTAAAACTTCCTTTTTTTTAGCTTCATTTTCAGCCACTAATTGATCAAGTAGGTGATGCACCTACTTATGTACATCAAGTTGCTCAAAGGTCAAAGTAGGTGATTCACCTAGTTTCCCTTTTCCTTAGTTAGGCGTATCTTACATTGGGCCTTGGCAGATTTGGCAGCTGGGTTTTAATTTCATTTTCCTTTTATTTAACTTAGTTTAAGCCTCAAGTGAGTCCATTAGCATAGGCCTAAAGTTGATCCATAAACCTTGGCCTTTTTAACTAGATCCATATAGCTCAAGTAGGTGATGTACCTACTTGGTCCTTTGGACTGGTCAATAAGTCAAAGTAGGTGATGCACCTACTTGTCACCTACTAGCTTAGTTAAGTAAAGCAAGCAACTCACTTATTTTATTCCATTTTCTAAATATTAATCCATTTTTCTTTAACTTAGCACTTAACTTTCAACTTTAAGCTCAATTACCACCTTATTGTCTAGAGTTTAAATACTTCCGTTGGAGTTAACTTGCAGTACACATGCTGAAACGTGCAAGGCATCACATCACCTTCTGAGCTAGTTTAAAACAACACTAATCATATAAGAAACATGGTCCCTCACCTATACTATAAGGCCATGTCAAGTATCACAAGAATAGAACAAGCATATGCATAATACGGGCTGTTACATTGTTCCCCCCTTAAAACATTCGTCCTCGAATGTTAACATTGTTATCCATCCCAAACAAGTTCAAGCCTAAGTTAGTACTACTATTAATCACATAATACATATATACTTATACTTACTTGTCAACGCCTCAACTAAGCATTTTCATCCTTCTCATCGATCTAAAAGAGATGAGGATACTTCAATTTCATTGCTTCTTCCACTTTCCATGTAACTCCTTCTATTTGTTGGTTCCTCCATAGTACTTTTATAGAAGCTACCTCTTTATTCCTAACCTCTTAACTTGTCAATCCAGAATAGCAATGGGTACTTCTTCATAAGTGAAATCTCCCGTAACTTGTACATCTTCAGTAGGAGTAATACGAGATGGGTCACCTACACACTTCCGAAGCATCGAGACGTGTAACACTGAATGAACTGATGAAAGCTCTTGTGGTAGCTCTAACTCATAGGCTACTTGAACAAATCTTTGAATAATCTTATATGGCCCTATATAGCGGGGACTCAACTTTCCTGTTTTAGCAAACCTCATTACCCCTTTCATTGGAGACACCTTCAAGAACACCCAATCCCCTATGGAAAACTCTAGTACTCTTCTTCTAACACCTGCATATGATTTGTGTCAACTTTGAGCCATTGCAATCCATTGTTGTATCACCTTAACTTTTTTCATAGCTTGATGAACAAGATCTGGCCCAAATAAGGTAGTTCACCCACTTCAAACCAGCCGATTGATGATGTACATTTTCTACCATATAAAGCTTCGTAAGGTGCCATTTTAATACTTGCATGGTAACTATTGTTGTATGCAAACTCGATTAGCGATAAATGATCATCCCAACTACCTTTGAAGTCTAGTATAAAAGCTCTCAACCTATCCTCAAGTGTTTGAATTGTACGTTCTGCCTGACCGTCTATTTGAGGGTGAAAGGTTGTACTTAGACTCACTTGTGTTCCCAAACTCTTCTGATGATGCTGTACTTTTACTTGTTGACAATTTGGATATTGAGCCATAAATTCCGCAATGTTCTTCTTCAGGTCACCCCACTAATGCATTTAGTTCAAGTCATGATACATTTTAGTTGACCCCGGATGAACAGAATATCTTGAATGATGTGCTTCCATCATGATCCTCTTTCTTAGTTCATCTACATTAGGTACACTAACTATGTTTTGACATCGAAGTACTCCCTCTTGCGTAAACTCAAATGCCTTTGTCATACCATGTTGTACATTCTCCTTAAGCTTTAATAGAATATGATCAGTATACAACTTCTCTTTCACTTTCATTACTAATGAGGATTCTGCCACATTTTTCACAATAACCCTTTCGTCTGGAGATTCAAGAAGGCGAACCCCCAAGCTAACTAGTTGGTATAGATCCTTAGTTATTCCTTGTCTTTCCACAGATTTCCCATAAGTGTTTGCCATTATTTTACGACTTAAAGCATCAACTACTACATTTGATTTCCTGGAATGATACAAGATATCAATGTCATAATCTTTTAATAGCTCCAGCCATCTTTGCTGCCTTAAATTTAGGTCCTTTTGCTTAAAGATATATTGCAAACTCTTGTGATCAGTGTATATGTTAACATGAACTCCATACAGGTAGTGGCGTTAAATCTTCAAAGCAAATACAAATGCTGCTAGCTCTAGATCATGAGTTGGATAATTTTTCTCATGTGGCTGCAGCTTCCTTGAGCCATAACCTATTACTTTACCATGCTGCATCAATACATATCCTAGGATCACTCTTGAAGCATCACAATACACTACATACCCTTCCATTCCTTCTAGAAGTACCAATACATGTGTAGAAGTCAATTTATTCTTCAGCTCTTGGAACCTTTTTACACATGCATCACTCCATTGAAACTTGGTTGCTTTCTGTGTTAGCTTTATTAAGGGTGCATCAATGGAAGAGAATCCTTTAACGAACCTTCTGTAATAACCTGCCAATCCAAGAAAACTACGGATCTCTGTAGGTGTAGGTCCTGTCCAGTTTTTCACAGCTTCTATCTTTTGAGCATCAACCTTTATTGGTTTCTCAGATATAATATGACCTAAGAATGCCACAGATTTCAACCAAAACTCACATTTAGAGAACTTTACATACAACTTACGATCACGAAGAATTTGTAAAACCTGCCGCAAGTGATTAACATGGTCCTCTTCCGATCTTGAATACACCAAAATGTCATCTATGATTACTATCACGAACACATCTCGAAATGCCTTGAACACCCTATTCATCAAATCCATAAAAAATTGCTGGTGCATTTGTTAGCTTGAATGACATGACTAAAAACTCAAAATGACCATACCGTGTCCGGAAAGCTGTCTTGGGAATATCTTTGTCTTTAACCCTCACTTAGTGATACCCCAACCTCAAGTTAATCTTTGAAAAACACTTAGCACCTTGTAACTGATCAAAGAAATCATTAATTCTAGGAAAGGGATATTTGTTCTTAATTTTTACTTTATTCAAATGTCGGTAATCAATGCACATTCTCAATGAGCCATCTTTATTACGTACAAACAAAACTGGTGCTCCCCATGGGGACATACTAGGCCTTATGAATCCCTTTTCTAACAAGTATTTTAATTGCTCCTTCAACTCCTGTAATTTTGCCGGGGACATTCTATATGGAGGGATAGAGATAGGTTGAGTATCTGGAATCAGATCAATACCAAAACCTACTTCTCGTTCTGGAGGCAAACCCGGAAGATCTTCAGGAAATACATCGGGAAATTCATTTACTACTGGATGGATTGAATGGTGCATCTATATTTTCGCTCTCACCAGATGACATATGTATCGTTTGGACATAATATTCTTTGCCTTAAGATAAGAAATAAATTTACCTCTTGGTGCCCCAATATTACCTTTCCATTCATAGACTGCCTCATTTGGAAAATGGAAATGCACCATCTTAGTTCGGCAATCTACCGTGACATAACAAGAAGCTAACCAATCTATACCCATTAAAACATCAAAATCTACCATTTCTAGCTCAACAAGGTCAGCCAATGTATCACGATCACAAAAGGTTACAATGCAATTATGATAAACCTTTCTAGCTATAATAGACTCACCAATCAATGTAGACACTTCAAATGGCTTCACTAATAATTCTGGTGTTCTTTTGAACTTTCCAGCAATCAATGGAGTAACATATGACATTGTAGACTGCGGATCAATTAGTGCATATACAATATGTGAAAAGATGGACAATGTACCTGTAACCACATCCAGCGAAGTTTCCAAATTTTGTCGATCCCCCAGACCATATGTGCGATTCTAAACTCCACTAGAACTAGCTTCTCCCTTAGATTTTCTACCATGACCTGTGGGCATCTATAGTCCCCTACCTAAGGAAGGTGTTGATGAGGACGATGCCGCAACTGATCTAATAGGCTGTGCAAAACCAATCATGCCCCTATGAGGGCAGTTTCTCATCATATGCCCTGGTGTATGATGAGTCCAAGACTTGGACTTATTTATAGAGATTTAGTGTCCTCAAATGCTTATTTTGTGCCAATAACTGATGTAAAACCCTTGATTTCCAGGTATATGGATTAAAGAACAAAGAAAGGACACTAATTTGCAAAAAGGAACAAAACGAGATGAAAGAATGAAGAAATGCAACCCTGTTGATCACCAAGTCCACTTGGCGAGTCGCCGAATGACTACTTGACCGCCTAAAGTTCCAGTGTGCCAAGCCCTGAAGGAAAGAACCAAGTTGGCGAGAGAAAGGAGCAGTCGATGGATCATCGAGTGGTTCCATGATGTAAAGTTAGATTGCCGAAAGTTACCGACCTTGAGGTTGCTGAATACCAAGGTAGAAGGGAGATGGAAATGACCAAAGGGCGGATCGCCGAGTGGTTTGGTGAGCCCGACTTACTTCGCCGAGTGACTCTTCGCATCACATTTTTGGTGACTATAAATACATTTTTGAACATTTAGTTTAATATCTGATATCATAATAACTTAGTCTATTATTAAGTTTTGAATTGTGAGACAAGTTTTCTCTAGTTTTACTTTAGCTTTGAAGAATTGAAGTTTTTCACTTTCGAGAAATTGGAAGTGGGTCTTTGAGATTCTTCGAATTGGACCATTGTAAAGACGAAATCAATCTTACCCAAAACTCAATTTGGTAACAAATTTTATCTTTTTTATAATGTCTAGCTAAAACCCCAATTCCTGGGGTGTGATTATGTGATTATGGGTTGATTTAGTTTATGTGTATTGCTAATTGTTAGTTTAAATGCTATTTAGAAGTGAGTTTAATCATTTATTGTGGTTTCATTTAAGAATTGTAGTTGCAAATACAGTTCTACCTTTGTGTTCTTGGATTGCTCGAGAGAGAGGATTTAGAACTAAGGTGTTTGATCGATGGTTCGTGGGTATTGGGTTAACCTGGGTTCAACTCGAGAGACTGAATCCTAAACCCTTTTCCACATATTCAGCTCGAGAGAGTGAATGGACTAAGGTGTGGGTTGTTCTTATTTTGCACGCTTGTTGATGTTCGAGAGAAATCAACTTGATTCGGGGTAAATTGTTCGAGAGAAAGTTTATTCCCTCTATAGTCTAGCTTACTCGATGATATTTAGCTATTTTCTAATAGTTGCAATTACCCATTTGTTTATATTAGCCTATAATCAAATCACATCCCAAGAACCCTTCTCATTATTGTTAATTCGTATTGTTTGTTGCTGTTTGTAGTTGATAATTTCAAACCAAAACCCCCATTTGATATTCGTGTCACCCCCTGATTTGAATGATGTCTTTATTTGATAATTTATATTCCTATGATTGATTTGTTCATGTTCACACTTTCCTATTGAATCTTAAACACGTACTGCTCCCTATGGGATTCGACCCCAACTCATTTAGTTGGGTTTTATACTGATTAACGATCGTTGATGTTTAGAATTGGATGAAGTGTCTTTGAAACGTTATTAATCAAAATGGCGCCGCTACCGGGGAGTGGTGTTGTTTAAGATTCTTTTGGTGAAGTTGAAGTTTGTTCTTTTTAGTCATAGTTGAATCTACTTACTTTCAGTTTTGGTTTGTATGTTGCTTTTTTTGAACAGAAGAAATGAGCATGTCTTGTAGCAACGGCAACAAAGTGGGTCACCCTACTTCAAAAATGATGATTCTTAGGGATAACACCCTAAATTTCAAGCAATTGGAGGGTGAGTCGATCCATGAGTTGAGGCTAACATTTAAGGCACTATTCCTGTAGTGCTGTCATGACCTAGGGGTACCCCCTAGACGTAACATATCGTACTTGACCCCGAAGGGGTCTCATACAGGCCCTTAGCGTACATAAACATAGGAAATAGAAATGATGCGGAATTTAAAACTTTTACAATCAAAGTCTTTCTTTCATAAAACCGAAAAGAGTCTAGACATCGTCTCATAATCCATCTACTACAATAGAATGTCAATAGGATCACAACCCTTTACAATCGAAAAAAAGTCTCAAAAGTAGAATATAAGGAAAAGCAATTAGGAGTAAATGACATCTTGTCCTCGCACCATGAGGACTCACCACAAGTCTTGGAGATAAGCAATCCAACCCTTAGTCGGGAAAGGAAATAAACTTCACCTAGCCGGAACCTACACTTATAAGAATGTAGAAGAAATAGGGGTTAGCACAAATATGTACTAAGTATGAAGCGTGCATAAAATCCTTGAAATATGATAAAAAGGACATTTTGGTTAAAAGTATGCATTTGTCAAGTTTGGAAATCAACATGCACTCTCAATGTAAAACACAAGTCATAATCACATTTATGTCCGAAACATAGTATAATCATCACCTTAGCAACTCTAAGGCATACTTGTGCAATGTATGGTTGGCATCCCATAATACCAACCATGCTAAATACTCCTTTAAAGCTACCTTAGTCCAACATATCATCTTTAGACCTCATCATAATCATTAGTCATAAATAAGGAAATAGTCACGTACATTACTTTGAACCATAAGGAAAGTCATTCATAGCAACCATCCATTCAACATACATGCATACATTCATGTCTCACCATAGCATAAAGAAACCACCCCATAAGACCTTACTAAGTCTACTTGTGCAATGTAAAAGTGAAGTCCCATACCCCCACTCCTACTAAGTAAAACTCATCAAGAAGTCATAGGTATAGTTCATGTCGTATTCATTATCTTGTCATGTAGGGGAAATTAGCCTTAACCGACATAGACCATGTGAGCTACATGGAATCTAGTGTCGTGTAACCCCACACCGAAAGAAGGTGTCCTACTTGCCTAAGGTAGAACTACATGTATTATCTTTTAAGTTGATCCACTAGCTAAAGACCTATGTGGGCACATAGTTATGGGATAGGGAGATTGCTTCTAGAAACCCGATCTATTGTATTGACGGAGAAGCTTTCATCTCATGAGAATAATCTAGATGACCCGACCTATTGTATTGACGGAGAAGCTTTCATCTCATGAGAATAATCTAGATGACCCGACCTATTGTATTGACGGAGAAGCTTTCATCTCATGAGAATAATCTAGATGACCCGACCTATTGTATTGACGGGAGGGACTCTACCTCATTTACCATATCCACTCGGTGCTAAGCATTATTCCCCAATTGTATATAATTAGTCTTGAATTGCATTTACATGTGTGAAGGAATACCTTGCCCTTCATTCAATACAACTCATAAAATAGATCATAGATTCATTTAGGTGAGAATGTACTTTCGACCTTAGAATCAACATTAACATGTGAATAAACCTTTCACATTATTGTTCATAGTGTTTCATGAGAATAACCTTTCAATCAACACAACAACATTATCATCATCCTAGACAATTCATACATAATCAAGTGTCATATACAACATTCATCAACATGTACAAACCTTCATAACTTACCCTTCAAGGGTCATGAATAATGTCACACAATCACACCTAGAAATACTACATTAGGCATGAATAAAACAAGATTCAATAACTACAACACCATAGAAGCAGTTCATAATATTCATCTTGCATCAATGCAACCATCACAATTCATGAAATTGGGGTCATGGAGAAATTCATGGGTTCATGGGGGATTTTACTATAAAAATCACCATTAAACAACAATCCAATCATAATATAGGACAATTAACCAATTGAAATCATTTTTAGGAAGAACCCCTGTCTAGATTTTAAACCCTAGATTTTGAAGAATCTACCAATTTGAAATTAAGAGTTGAAGGGATTCATGGAAGGAAGCTTTCCATGAATCAAGACTCCCATACATTGATTGAAGCTTTATCCACGAATTGGAGTTGAAAAGGTTGGTTCTTGATCCCTAATCTTCAATGGAGGAAATCTAGAGAGAGAAATATTTATTGGGAAAAGAGTAGAATAATGTGGTTTTAATTTTGGAATAAAACTAGGGACCCTTTTTGTTACAACTTAAATTTTTCCCTCCTTTACGACCTAGCTCGCCCAATGGACCCCTTGGCTCGCCAAGGGCACTAGGCGACTCGCCTAATGGACCCTTGGCTAGCCAAAAGTTACAGAATGCTCCTTAAAGGAGACATTTATTTGGGAGATAGGGCAGACCCTTTGGCGATTTGCCAAGTGGGTTAGCTAGCTCGCTCAAAGTTACAGTAGCTAGGTCTAGGGGAGGCTGCCCACTAGGCGAGGAGAGGCAATTTGGCTAATCTCCAAGGCTCTTGGGCAATGCCACTGCCCATCGCCGAATGGACCAAAGGAAAAATTGTTTTCCTTCACTTTTCTTAGGTAGTTTA